AACATTAAAAAAAAAATGCTGTGGTAAAATGAACTTTCACTCTCCAAAAGAAGTTCTTGGCTACTGATTGAACTGGATACTATATCATCTTTTCAGTGGTTACTAGTCCCAGTAAAAAAAATCCGTTTTAGAATTCTGTATTGAATTCAAAGCTTTACTTGATCCTCTAGAATGAACTCATCCCTTAAAACTGACGCAATTAAATGCTGTCGTTTGGTTTTAGTGTGTCTTGTAACTTTTATTAGTTTTGATATCTCTCCATTTGTATTGGTTTGCCATTTTTCTAGTACATCTGCATTTACAAATAACTTAAACGGTTACGATTCTAATAATGGTGTGTTTATGAAGTAAACTAAATAAAAAAGGGCCTCGCACAGCCTCATACACAACTCAAACACACTCACATTCATACATTGACTAAAATATCCTGCAGACATAATATTCTCACATCACCATCCATCCATTCTATCTTTCTGTGAGATCATTTCACACCCTCTTTATCTTTACACTTGCAAGACAAACACTCCTCATGACTGCCCATACACTCTTGGAAAAAATGTGCAAAAATTGTACGTTTAGGGGTACAACAGCTTGTCACTGGGACAGTACCCTCAAAGAGACATCTTAGTATCTTCTTTAAGGGTGCATATTAGTACATCAGAGTTTTAGTGACCGTGTGTGAAGCACTGTGTACTACTTAATTTTTTAAAATGCATATATAAATTGTTTTAATATGGGATTTTTTCAAATTATAATTTGTTTATATAATAATAATAATAGGTTTAAGCAGATGGTTAGGGAAAATGGGCCAGCATGACTGTCCAGCATACATGGGAACTTCTTTATTACTGTTCAAAAAGCATCCTAGGATGCACCGCATGAAGTTGGCTGAGAGAATGTCCAGCATGAGCAGAGCTGTAATCTAGGCAGAAGTGGGCTACTTTGAAGAAACTCAAATATAACATTTTAATTTGTTTTTGGTCATTTCATAATGCTCATATATCCATTTGTGCTCATTTATTTCCATTTGTCAAAGTTTCAGTGCCTTGAAATATGGCAATAAAGAGTCGGTGTTTTAAAATTTTTGATGGATAGTAGGTGGTCATATAGATAAAATGCATTTGTTTACCAATTCAAATACTAATCTTGTGTAGAAGCATACATAAACATGTAGAATATGCAGTACAACAATATAACATGGATTGTTGTGTGTGTGTGTGTGTGTGTGTGTGTGTACCTGGTATTTCCTACATTATTATACAGTACATATACACAAAGATAGTAAAACCAGGACATTTTGACCTTGTGGGGACATTTTTTGGTCCCTTTGAGGAAAACAGCTTATAAATCATACAGTATTAAGTTTTTTGAAAACTTAAAATTGCAGAAACGTTTGTGTGATGGGTAGGGTTAGGGTAAGTGGATAGAAAATACTGTTTGTACAGTAGAAAAAAAACATTATGTTTATGGAGGTTCTATAAAACGTGGAAACCAGTATGTGTGTGTGTATTTTTAGCTGAGTTTACATGAGAGGTTTTCAGTCTTTGTGTTGGAAATGGAAACCAGCAGCTGCCCATTGATGCTCATCTTGTGTTTCTTGCGCAGTGAGAGTACTTCACTCTTTCTGCTCATTCACATTTGTTGTGTATTTCTCTTCAGGGGGCGGCATAATGTCTTCCCCAAGGACAGTTAAAAAAAAAAAAAAAAACTATTACAATCAACAAAAATGTCTACATGAAGTTTCAGACAGGAAAAAAAAAACCTTGTGAATAACATTTTTAATCTTTCTGAAATGATTTATTTGTCATTGCCAAATAGCACAGGACCAGCAATGATAGCAAATGACATGATCAGAAATGCTAGTACATTAAAACTTATTGACTATATATATATATCGCATCCAAAATAAAGGTTTTTGTTTACATAATATATGTGTGTGTACTGTGTATATTTATTATGTACAGTATATATAAAGACAAACACATACAGCCCATATTTTGAAAATATTTACGTATATATTTATATTCATAGAAATTATTTCATATATAAATATATTTAATATATAAACGTAACATTTTTCTTAAATATATTCATGCATGTGTGTGTATTTATATATACTAGTGCTGTCAAACGATTAATCGTGATTAATCGCATACAAAATAAAAGTTTTTGTTTTCATAAAATATGTGTGTTTTGTGCATATTTATTATGTACCGTATTGTCCCAAATATAAGACGATATTTTTTTCTTGGAAATACATCTGAAAAAACGCGGTCATCTTATATTCAGGGTCTAGACTTTGACATGTCAATAATACACCCGCAACAATAGGTGGCGCCAAATACGCATAAAACGAGTGTGCCATGAAATACGTAATGTAATGCGTGTTGTAAATATCGCGAGTAAAAACAAAAGAGAAAGAAAACCTTACAGCTGCATGAGGCATGACTGTCACGTTAGCCTGATGGCACCAAACTCCCTTTGCGATTTTAAAACGTAAGACAGTACCCAGAGTTGAAGACTGCAGTAAGATTTAACCTCTACTGTT